AAGAACCAGCTTGGGAATGAATAATACATTTATCATGTTTTACTTACATTTATCATATTTTAAGCCTTGATAAGAGAAATGTAGTAGAAACATACAATGTCAAAGGATAAAAGTATGAGTCAATAACCTGCACTAAAATTTTAAACTAATAACAGTGATGCATCAAAGTGAATAGCCTTGACAACCTATAACTAAATCACTTTTAAATGACAAATTATATGATGAAGATAGGATAAATAACATTTTAATGCTCTCTCTATCATGCATTGGAAACTCATTCACATTTCCACATTGTTTTTGTTAGAATTACATTTCGTGTTTATATAGATTATTCAAACCATATTTTTTATCTACTTTTGAGTCGAAGAAAAGTAGCAAAAAATTGTTCCTTAAGTCCATATAAATATCTTTTAAAACTTGTATTAAATAATTTTAAAAAAAACATATTAACTAAAAAATATTAATTAATAAGTTATTTTAGTCATCAATGTTATGTCATAAACTTTTTATTCTAATCACCATTGTCACATATACAAAATTGAAGGGGAACCACAAAACCCGAAGACAATAAAATTCAAGGACCAAAAAGTTTGGTTTTGTAATAGAGGAACCAATAGTTTAAAACACCCAATTTAAAGGACTAAAAGTGCATTTAAGCCATTTCTAAACATTCAATTTTATAATATTAAAAACTAAAAATTTCACATGAAGAGGAAAAATAACATTTGAAATCATGGATGAGCGGACTTTTTTTCAAACAAAAACAAAAGGCGGGGCCTCATTAGGGTTGCTGATGGTTGATTTCTCAAAAAACATGGACATGAATAACCTTATTTCCTTAGGCAAAGATGTCGTTAGGGTTTTGGAGGATCCTAATAATCGTGACTTCAACGTCTTTTCTGAATGTGTTCGACGCATATTCCCCATTTCTTCAACATGTGACTCCGATCTCAGTGAGACTCACTCCTCTTTCCAAGATTATTTACTCTTTTTCCCTTTTCTCTTTCTCGTTACTCTTTAATTTTTAGCTAGGGTTTGTGCTTGATAGTAAGAAATAATGAGGGTTAAAGTTTTCATGTTTTTTATAATTCTCGTGTCACTGATTTCCACTCTTGATGAATTTGCTACGAAAACTGTAACATTATCCCATTTATGCAATAAGAGTTAGTTGGATAATGTATAAAAAGATAAGGGAGGGTAGGTTTGGGGATAAAAAGTTGGAGAGCTTTAAATTTAGCACTTTTTGAAAAATGGGTGCGGATATTCAAAGTATAAAGATAACATTTGTGAGGAAAGGTTATTGTGGCGCTAAATAAGAAAGTAACATAGAGTGTGTGAGATTGGTATTTAATCTAATTAACAGTGGGTCATTAAAGCAACATAAAAGGGCTTACATGGATCTAAAAATAACTATTATTCATAAACAAGGAACCATTGACAAATAAAGAGTTGTTACTCTGTCAAATCCAAAGCATAAGTTTAACTTAGAATTTTTTAACAATTGTATATTCTATAAATTCTTAAGTCTTAAGAGATTTTTTATGTTGTATTATTTCTACATCTCTGATTATATATCAAGTGTATCACTTAAAAAATATCTCATCTTCAAGTTATATTGTTAGAAGTCTCTTGCTTGTGTGCTTTAGCATATGGAGTCTCTTGCTTGTATGCTTAAGCATATAAAGTCTCTTGTTTGTGTGCTTGAGCATTAGAAATATCTTACTTATGTGTTTGAAAATTGGAAGTCTCTTGCTTGTGTGCTTGAGAAAATTATAATCATAAGTGATTATAGTGAAAATCTTTTAGAAGTATAAGAGGACTGAACTACTCTTCATTTATGGGAGGAACCAGGATAATTACTTATTTCTCTCTTTCTCTAACTCTCTACTTTGATATTGTTCTATTTGTTGCAAGTATCTTACCCCTAATCAGGTTCTTGACTTTGTGTTTAAAATCTGATAAGAGAGTTTTGACAAAAGGAGAAATAGTCAACACAATTCAACCTCCCTTCTTGTGCTTTTTCGCATATTCACATTCTTCTCCTGTAACCCTGATAAAAATAGTAAGATTGAAAAAAGGATAATCTGGGTAGTACCTTAAAAAATAAAATTAGGGAGCTTAATCACTAAAAGAAAGGGAACAAACAGGTCAAGGATGAAGGAATGGGCGAGAAACTAACAACAACGGAAGAAATAAAAAACAAAGAAGAAGAATAAGAGATTCTCAAATCCATAGGAAATAAAAAAGAAAAGATTAATAGTCCAAAAATTTATTATATTCATTTCCATGGCAGTGAATTGTGCGATCTACGACATTGAAAAATACGAATTGCACTCTCAACAATCAAAATCTCACCGGGGATAGTTCAGAGCACTTGAGTATTCTAGGACAAATGGAACATCATTACCATCAGACATAGGGACACACATCAAATCCTCCCTATGAAAAATTTCTAACCAAGAGAGAGAGATAGAAAGAGAAAAAGATAGAGATGTAATGCATGTGTGTCCAATAATAATGACGTTCCATCAAGATACTTCACTTACTCCTATTAAATAGTCGGCCTAAAGATGTACATTGTAAATCCTTCATTCTATAGAGTATAACAAGGGTTTATGGATAACTATTTAAGGTTGTTCCCAATAGGGGTGTTCGCGATGCGGTTTGAGCGGTTTTGACGTAAAATGTCATATGAACCGCAAGAGAAAAAAGTGTGTGGTTTAGTTGACTTAGAAATAAACCGAACCAAATCAATGTGGTTTGGGTTGCTTCAGTTTTTTACAAAAAATATTATCGAGTCATACGCACACATATAACTGACAATATAGATTTGTATTTAGTCATTTATGTGTTATCAAATAACAACAAAATTCATCATGTTTTGATAACTATTTTCAATTTAATATACAAATATAGAGAAAAGTGGAATAAAAAACCTAAAATAATAGCATAAAACAATATCAAAAACATTAGAATGAAAAACAAAAAATAGAGGAGATAAAAGATAAATAAGGTGAAAAAGAAAGAGCAGAAAAGAGGAGAGTGTTGTAATGAGTGCATCAAGCACACACTAAAACAATGAGAAAGATTGAGTTTCTTGAACAAACACAAGAAAAAACCCCTTCAATATTTACGAGAGAGAGAGAGAGAAAGAAGAAGAAGAAGAAAATCAAGATTGGTTATAACTGTTTTACTATTCACTTTCTCTATTAGAGTTCAAAGATTACAAATGAACAACAACAACCAATATTCTCTCAACAACCTGAGAGAACCAACCTATTTATAAACTACTATGCTAACTTAAACAACAAGCTAACTAAAGCAATTTTGAGCCAACATACTGATCCAATTTGACATGCTAGCAACATAACATATTTCAACACCTGCATGCTTGAACGAACTTCGACTACAACATGCAAAACCTCGACTGTTGTTGAACCAACCCTTGTTGAAACTAGAGTTCAATCTAATTAGCACAAATAAATTAGAGAAGAAGACGTGCTTTAAAAACTTAATTGGAAGATAGAACAATAGAATAAAAATGAGAAGATGAAAAATAAAGAACATAAGAGATAAGAGACTAGAGAAGAAAAAGTGAGAAGTACATGGAAAAAAAGATGAGAAGAATGCACGATACCGTTAGGAAAGACTTGTGAAGGCTTAAACTGAAATCTTAAGTTTGTGGAAGAGAAAATAATTTGTAACCATAAGACTAAGGCATAATAGGTTTGAGTTTGGGTTGGTTTCTCAGTTAAGTAAAGTATGGGCTGTAACATAAAGCGATTTGATTTCACTTTGGTTCGATTTGTAAAATATAAACCGCAAACCGAACTAAACTTTACAATTTGTTAAAAAATGGTTCAATCACATTTGAATCAAGTTCATTTTTTTACAATTTTAATTTGGTTTGATTCGGTTAACGATTTCTATTAGGCCGGTTCGATTTTAAATACCCCTAACTCCCAAAGCCCATAAAGAATAACCCAAGAGAGAATCTCATATTGAAAGGAACACATAACAAGTAGATCTTTGTTGTTACCGGAAACAAAAAGTTTACATCCGTTGACACGTCAATCCCCACATGATCTAATTTGAGGGTCTCCCGCAACACACCATATAATATAAACAATTTCAAGCGCTCTTATAATTAATATATAAGAATAAAACACATCATTTTAAATATTCAAATTTATTTTCTATCGCGTAATATTTCTGATTTCTATTATTGATATTGAATGTTAGAGTCCTAACATTATAGATCAATCCTTCTCCACCACATCATAAATACAAATTCACCGCAACAAAATACTCTTTACTACCTCAACTTTCATTTCAATTTCCTAACCTAACAATTTCCATTTTCCTCTTTTTTTTTTTTAAAGTAAGATCTCTAACATCTAATTTTATAATTTTTATAATTTTTATATTAAAATTTAACTCTAAATTTATCTCAAAAAAAGTTCGGAGTAAATAAATAAACTAACATTATAAATGTTTCGCGTAGACACTTGTTTTCTTTGCAACCAAACAAACAAAACAAACCAAACAAATCGTATGCTGCAAAGTTTTATTTTTACGAAAGATATTTCAAAGTTCTACTATAATCTTATAAAATAATAGGAGCAGCATATAATAAATCCTTAACTAGTTACTATCTTCTTCAATCTTCGTGTAGTATATATAAAAAATTATCTTCTTCAATCTTCGAGTAAATGTTGGCAGAGTCACGTGAAGTGAATAACACGTGGTCTATAGTAATTGCATGCATGTATCAAGCCGTCACACGTCATCATTACACGTGGTGAAAGATAGTTCTAGCATTCCACAGTAATATTTCGACACGTGGAATCTGATATTTATTTACATTATTACTCAATCTTCGCTTTTCGTTTATAAACCATAGCTAAAATCAAAATCCAATCTAAAATCACAAAACCAAAAGTATCCACAAGAAAGAAAGAGAACTATTTGTTTCCTAGGATAGGATAGTGATAGAAAACATGTCCACCACTGGAGTACCAATTCTCTCTAGGATTGACCGTTTAGATTACATGGTAAGTAGTGTTATATCTTGTTTATCGAATGGTTTATGTATCTCATGGATTTTTTGTATTCAGTTGAAGCAGTTAGAGGAAATTAGAGGGTACAACCGATCTCCAAAGAGCTCGTGTGCATCGACACCAACAAGTGGAAGTGATGGACGAGTTTCATCGGTTGATTTCTCTCCAAAGAGCTTGGAGAAGCACTGCCGTCCGATCGACACGGTGATAATGGAGACCGAAGTCAAGGGAACGTTGATAGAGAGGCTCAATCAAGTGGAGGATCGGATGCTTAAGGTATGTCGTCGTGTGTTGTTATTGACCGTTTGATATTGTGGACGGTGTATGGTTATGTGATAGGGTGTAATGTATTTGTTTGTAGCTAGAAGAAGATTGGATTGCGGAGAGGAGGAAAGAAGAAGAGAAGAAAACTGTTAGGGGAAGAAAAAAGGGCTTCAAACAACTTGTGCAGCAGTGTGTGATCAAATCAAGAAGAGAACATGGTAATGACTAATGAGTGATTAAGAGGGATGAAATGTTGGTTTTGGTTTAGTTTTCATATACTATTTTGTACTATTATTTATGAGTAATTAAGTCGTGTATTTATTATTAGTGTAGACTATTAATGTGATAAATCACTATCATTGTTTAAGTCTTTCGACAAGGGTGGCTGTAAAAAATGTGAATAGGGATGACTCACTTTTCTTCTCTCATTTACTTTTTTAAAAAGTAAAAGGAAATTATGTTAAAACTAAAAATTCTAGCACAAGACATGCTAGATGTACAACCGACTCACTACTAAAAAAGGAAACATGGTTACAAACAGACCCCAATTCTAAATAGCAAACCAACTCAAATTATTAAGACTATGAGACAACTTTTTTATTAGAAAAAAATAATTATTGTATGAAAATGAAAAATGAAAAATTATTTATTAATGATATTCATTAATAGCATGGGAAAAATGTATGAAAATGAAAAATGAAAAATTATTTATTAATGATATTCATTAATAGCATGGGAAAAATATATATATATATATATAATTGAAAGGAGAGAGAATAATAAATATGAGTTTATAATTGAAAAGGAGAGAGAATAATAAATATGAGTTTAATAGAAAAAATTGTATTAATTATTCACAGGTATTATAATGTAATTTATATTGTGGTATAATTTTTTTTTCCTAAAGTGATTTATAATAAAAAAATAAGAATAGAAAAAATTGTATTAATTATTCACAGGTATTATAATGTGATTTATATTGTAGTATAATTTTTTTTTCTAAAGTGATTTATAATAAAAAATAAGAAAGTAACAATTTTAACTAAAATACTCTCTTTAGTTTCTTAACTTTACTTCTGACTCTATTCTAGTCTCTCATCTTTAAAAAATTTTAAAGTGATTATTTAATTGTTTAAAAAGGATCACGTTTATCTTTTTTGTCTGGATTGTTAGTCAAAGTCAATGGTAGAACTTATGTGACATATATGTGATATTGCACGTGTTTATATTTTCGTCCAAGTGGATTAAAGTATTTTAAAAAAAAAGTTATAGCATCTCCAACACTTAGAAGGTAATCCTTGAGTAGTCATTGTTGGTAGTACTTAGAAGGTAATCCTTGGGTAGTCATTGTTGGTAGTTTCAATCTGCAAACAAGCTGTGAGCGAAGCGAAGGCACAATCCGATCACAACATTACAATCGAAGCATCGAAGCGAAGCGAAGGTGAAATCGACTACAACACTGTTCATCGTACGTAAGTTTATGCAAAACTATGATTTTCGTAGTTAGAATTTTTTGAAATCAATATTTCTGAATTAAATATCTTCATGTTCATTTAGGACCTAGTCTGAAATGGATGAATATCTAAACATTACAATACACCATAGTGGCGAATTTATTACGGAGGACATGAGTGTTTACGAAGGGGTGAGATTGATGATTTGAGAGTAGATGTTGATAAGTGGAGTTATTTTGAATTGATAGGTGCTATTAAAGAGTTAGGTTATGCAGATGTAGAGAATATATATTACAGAGATTCTAGTGTGGGGATGAATATGTTGGTTGATATCAATTTTTGTTTTCCGAAAGCTTGTCGTGTTTAGCTTGAAGAGTTTTCTTCATTGTATATATTGTAAATTTTGTATATTGAAATTTTATAGGAGTATTATTTTTTTAATTCTTTTGTTGTTGTTTGGACTCAAGTTTTGGTCCGGTAACTTGTAAAATATTGAGGTGATCTGTCAAGTTTGATCGTTTTGACTTGCGAATGGGTGGTAGTGATTTTGTTAAAGTTTTGTACACGTTTGAGGTATGTGTTTATCGCTTTCTATACTTTAGCATATTCATGATACTTATACTTTTTTTACAATTTTTATGCCATTCATTCTTTTATATACTTGTTCATTTATGAATCACTTTAGTTCCTACCCTTTTTATGAGGTAGCTTTTCATTGTTCACATATGCTGGAGATCACAATTCTTGTTTTAACTGTATTTTATTATGCTTAATATTTTGTTTGTGTTGATTGTATGAAAGTTTGAACACGATCAAGGAATTTTTTGTTTAATTTTGAACACAACTACTTTGGCCAAATAAGTCAATTCACCTTGTGAGTGTGTGATAATCAGTAATTTCTTTGAGCTTTTTGTCGATATCCATGTTGTATTTTTTAAATGCTTGTCTATGAGTGTTTAGTTTTCCTTTTTGCATGGATGTTGATTCGTTGTTTTCTTGAACCCTCAACCATTATTTTTGTTTAAATTTTTACATTGCCTTAGAAAGTAGGGAGTATTCACTTTAATGTATGGTTAAATTCAAGCTGTGGAGAAAAATGATTGTGTATTTATTGGTTGATTGCTATGAGGTTGAAAAGAAAAAGAAAAAAAGTGAGAAAATAAATGAAAAAAAAAGTGATAGAAAAAGAAAGAAAAAATAGAAAAGCTTTGGAAAACAAAAACAAAAAGAGTATAAAATAATGTTGTGTTGAATAAGTGATGTGTGTTGGTTTGAAATTTGTGATGAAGAAGAAGTTTGATTTGAAATTCTATTGTTTGAAACTTTGTGGAAGTAATTACTCCCTTAGGTTTAGGCAACTTTTTGTTTTGATTAGCTTTAGGACTTGTCACTTGTTTGTTAATCAAGCCACATTACAACCTTGAAAAGTCCTTGAGATTCTTGCTTTTATATTTTCAATGTAAATTTTTGAATTAATGCATAATTAAGTCTATTGTTTGCAAGATTGTTGGATGAGTGAAAATACTCTATTTTTGTGTGTTTTTCATCTACCAATGATTATGTTTGCTAGGTGTGATTCATTTGTGACCAACTATTATTTTAGAATGTTTGGCATAATTTTTGTATTTAACATTTGTTTCGTGTTAATGTTATATTCGTAGTTTAGTGGTAAGTGTTTACTTTGTGTGTACTGTTTTTCATTTGAACTATTGCATTTGTATTCCGTTTTCAAAACTTGTTGATTCATGAAATTTTGGTTGATTATTTTTGGTTCTTTGAGTTGTTTGACTTTTTTTGAGGACAAAAAAGTTTAAGTCGGGGAGAGTTTGATAAGTGTAAATTGTAGCTATTTTTGTATATATTTTTTGTTGTACTTATCGACTTTTTGTTTGTTAATATTGTTGAATAATCCCGACTTTTGTGTAAAATTATTTAGTTTATGTTTAATTGTGTTTTTGTGTATATAGTGTACCGTTTGATATTTTCTATTCATTTTATAGTTATTGATGCGTATTTGGAGCATGGGCAATAAAGTGTCGAAGACACGACTTCAAACGCGGGATTTTGAGCAACCCATCAACGAATAAGGCTCAAAATCAAAGAATAAGAAATCATCAATTTGATTTATATTTTGTAATTTTTAGAAGGAGCATTGAATAATGTTTCCAATGCTTTGAACCGGGTGTAAATCGGAGTTACGATTTAAAAGTTATGATTGAAACAGTGTAGAATGCTGTGCTAGTTTTTCATCTTGCTGTCATTTGTCGCCGGGTGATGCTTTTTGGTCGTCGGACGATACTAGACAGTCAGAAATGTGTATTTAGGGCCAAAAATAATTTTTAGGTTATGTTTTGGGTATTTTTGGTCCCAATTCATCAAACCTCCATTTTTTTGTCTTGAGAAGCTATAAAACAACATTGGAGCTTGCATCTTGATGATCCGGAGTCGGTTTTCTCATCAATCGACGTTGAAAATTCATGAGATGTTTGGTTTTTATCCATTTCTTCTCTATGTATTTCTCTATTTGTTTGGTATGTTTGTATATTTACTTTGAATATATGTATATGTGTTGATCATGATGTTGTATAAAACTTGCTTTACAAATCAATTTTGACGTCTTCTTTGATCTTTTTGCTTTATGTTTGGATTTGGGTTGTTATAGACATACACCTCACAAATCTTAATTAAGGATGAATATCTATTAGTTTCTAGATTCTAGATATAGATTTAGAGTTAATATTCACTTTGGGTGCTAAAGCTTAATGCCTCCGTGTTGTTGTAGCGCGCAAAACATTACCGATAGAGTAATATGGTTGGTCTCACGACTTGGCGTTAGACATAAACTTCGTTGTAGGTATATCTCGTGGTGTCCATGATGATTTTGACGAGTATAGTAGGTTGAGTGCAACTGATTAATAGGTTTAAGTTTGTGACAAGTAGTGTAAATTCCTGCCTGTTAGGTTTCTCCTTTTTATTTAATGTATTTATTTCCTTGTCAATTGTTTTTACTCTTTCCTTACAAACAAACTTATTTAATTCCCAAACTCATTAATGAGAGATTTGTAGAATGAAAATTTAATAACTAATCTCTGTGGACACGATAAATTCTCGAATAAATATTTCTAAAACTTTTGTTGCTTGCCGTTACACCGCTACCAACAGTCACCTGAAGACAAATTATGGTGATCAACTACTTATTGTTGTGGCTAGGGATCTAAATGATCAATACTTTCCTCTAGTATTTGGTGTTGTGGAGACAGAGACAAAGGAAATTTGGAGGTGGTTCTTACAACTGCTTATGGATGATATTGGGCAGCATAGAAGATATGTATTCATATCTTACCAATAAAAGGTATGAATTTATTTATATTCATTTGTATAGTTATGTATGTGAGTTTAGCTAAATAGTGTTGTCATTTTCATAAGGGTGTGTGGTTGTATTTGAAGAGATGTTTGAGTCAATCAAGCATAGGATATGTTTAAGGCATTTGTTTGCCAATTTCAAAAAGAAATTTGGTGGAGGCAGGGCAATAAGGGATCTAATGATGGGAGCAGTAAAAACAACATACCTTCAAGCTTTGGATAAAAATATGTTTGAGTTAAGGCAACTTGATAAAAAGTCTTGGGAATGACTAATGGGTGTTCCAACCAAACTATGGTGTAAACATGCTTTTAGTTATTATCCAAAATGTGATGTTTTAATGAATAACCTTAGTGAGTATTTGAATAGTACCATATTACAGGCTAGAGATAAACAAATTATCACTATGTATGA